CTAATTGCACGACATATGAGGAACCCAAATATACCGTACTTGAAGGACAAGTCATGAACCTCGTTTACTGAATGCTGAATACGACAAATTTAATTGACACCCAGCTACCCGTCGGGCCTATGACGGCTAAAATGGCGACTGGGTGAACTCACTACATCAGAATACACCAGGGGCAAGGAACGGTTCCGCGAAACCTAGAAGCGAGTACGAAGAAATCAACCCAGCAGAGTCAACCCTATGCCGAATCTTTTGTGCCGCCACCACCGTCGCGAACCCGGCTTAACCTTATATTTCCCCGTTATTCATCTCTTCCAGTCACTTTACTTCCAATAATAACACTGCTATTTCTATTCCATAATCTGTCCTATAATCTTACTTGCCGCTTATCTCCCACATGACTCTATAATCTCACCCTGTGTTTCTGTCTTCTTACCGCTGTCATCTCTCCGAGTTCTACCTAGGTTTCTTCTTCTCCTTAGCACCACTTCCTTTCACCTAGTTTCTTCGTACTTCCTCCCCCTTGATTTCCAGTATCCACTATTGATAGTGCGAGTGTAGAAAACTGATAGTTTTTGATCTCTTGCTTCTAGTTCTTAGGGCTTCGTTTCAGTTGTCCGGTTCACTCCTGCAGTGGACCAGGAAATCCCCTCTACCTTCTTGCTTTTAGCCTCGGTGAGGTGGATGTTCCATGGGTTTGTAAGTTGTAATGTGTAGGGTGATTTGGGAGCTACTGGCTGCTGAGATGGCTAGAAAACTGTCACGACTGCTGTCTGCGTGGATAACTGAAGAAGAACAGCAAGGTAGTGGCAAAAATTGCAGAGTGAACAGGAAAAAAATAAAGGAAGAAAGAAAAAGGAGAAGAAAAGGAGGGTTGAAGAAGAGGAATAAAGGAGGGAGAAAAGTGCGTGGGAGTTGCCCGAATGCAGAAGTAGATAGCGTGGGTTTGGTTCCCACAGAAGAATTGGTAGGTAATGTGGGCGTATTACGGAGCGAGATAGTGAGTTGTAGGTAAGAGAGAGGTGAGAGTGGGCCAGTGAGATTGGTGACTCCATCAGTAGCAGTGATAGACTATGCAAGGTGACATAAATGTCTAACCATCTCTTGAATGAGCCTATTGAGGGAGCTGTAACGACATGTCGCGGCAGGGCATTCCATAAAACACATACTCTCGGGGAGAAAAAACTGGACCTGAGTATGGTGTTGGCTTTCTGGTGTTCTATCTTAATGGAGTTTCCTCATGAAGACCACAGAGTTGCAGGCAAAATTGACGTTTGTGTGGTTTGTCCAGTGAGCGATCTTGTATGCCGTAATAAGGCCACTCGTCTTCCTACCATAACCCAAGGTAAATAGGTTTAGGTGTTTTAGTTTTTCAGGATGTCTCTCCTTAGCCCCACAACTGATTTTGTTGCAGTTCTTCGCATTCTTTCAAGGAGGTTAGATTCTCTCTTGAGTGTTGGGGGGCACCATATCAAAGGCCTCCAGATGAGTCCGCACGAATGATTTTAAAATAGTGAGGAGGAGTTTGGGAGTGACGGCACCAGGCTGTCTGTGCAGAAAGTGCTGAATGGCGTTAGCTCTGGGTTGTCATATCTTTGTAGTTGGAGCTGGTGTTCGGGGTGTCGGAGAAGTTGAGCCCCAAATCTTTCTCCATAGACCCTTTGGTGATAGTGTGGTTGCCCAACATGTACTGGGAGCCGGTCGTACTTGCTTCATATTTACTGATGTGTATTACTTTGCACTTCTCCAGGTTGATGCTTAGGCCATTTTCCGACAACCAGATATCTTTTCTACACTCCTTATACAACCAGTTCGAATAACTGCCTTGTGGTAGGAGACTTGAGGAACCCATCTGCATCGCAGTCCTAGGGAGAGTCGTACAATTAACAACTAAACCCTCGTCGGGCTAACTAGAGCTACAGCAGGCGAGTGGGTAGATCTACTGCGTTGGAACCCACTCAAGACCTGTGACCATTGTGCACGACTTAGAAGCGAGAGTGAAGAAATCGATTGGTCTTCACAAGCTCGTGAAAACATATTGGATACAAGGTGGAAGCAGAAACTGGCGCGCTCCTTGAGTAGTGACGTGTTTCGCTCGTCTCTCAGCTTTTGGATTTTTCCACAATGAAAAACTCCCACTTGCAATACTCAATCTAAAAACATCGAACGTTTGCAGCACTTCTGTCCGTCCACGCACCTCACCCCTGCGCATTCGTCAGCTCACTCCTCAACAGTTGAAAATTGGCATTATTATTCCTTTGAACCAACCGGTCTACCTCCTGTCAGTGGTTCTTGGGCGTTTCAGCTGCCAAACTGCCTTAGCTCTCGGTTCTCCTCGGAGGTCATTCCCCAGGAAATATCTTTCCTGGTTATACATACGCATCTGGAGCTTACGGTTAAACTCGTTGGTCAAGAGCAGAGGATCAAGTGACAAGTGTCTGAAGGTGAGCCAACATAAATTATCTTCCCTTTTCTATTCTGTCCTTTTCCTGCATTCAGTCTTCAACCCTCTTATTGTTGTTAACTACTTGTTTTCCCAAGAAGTTTATATCATAGCGACATGTCTGCCCAAAACGCTAGGTCTGAAGCTTTGACACGGATAACGCGGTCGTGCACAACAACGGCCAGTAACACCCTAAACAACACACTAGTCTGTACTAGAAGACAAACAGAGGTAGGGCAGAACATCGAACTTCTGAAGAAGTGGCCAACCCATGTTTCTAGAATTCCAGTAGCCATCAGACAGGTGACACAGAGTAGCACTAGCCCGTCACAAACTAGTCCTATCTTGAGCAAGGATCATACCATGCCTGAACATAGAAGACGACGTAAAAGGCTTCAGAACAAGGCAGCCACAAGCAGTTCGCCACAATCCGTAGCACCTTATTCATGGAAGGAAGGCTGTATTACGACACCCGATGGCTGCAGTGTTTGCACCAAAGTTGTTTCGGTAGTCGATGAGGCATTTGCATGCAACCTGTGTCAACGATGGGTGCATTGCCACTGCGATACCAAAGTCCCCCGACAATACTATAAGCTGATGAAGAGACAACCATGCAAGTGGTTCTGGTACATCTGTCCAGAGTGCAGGAAAATGCCCGCACTCCGCACAGAAAGCCTGAAGGAGATGCTCTCCGCCACGCAAAAGCTACCAGCATCCTCGAATAAGGTAGGGTTAACACCAAAGGATAACACAGAGAGACCTGGAAACAGACCTAGAGCTCCAGCTGTGGGCACGCCATCTCGCGTGGGGACCATATTAGGTCAAGTCTCCATACCCCCACCCGGCCCCAGGGGACGTCAAGCGCATGGCCAAAGACATCGACCGCCGAAGCCTCTACGAAACCCATTCCGAACACCCCACACACCGTGACTGAGAAACAACCAGTGGAATTACTCAAACCCATTGGTAAGTCGGGCGTGCCACCCACAACGAACCCAGGTCACAGGAGGACCAACTCGATCATTTTGTTCAACGTCGATGTATCGACAGACTCATTGTTGGTCGAGAGGGAACAATTTGACAGCCGAATGTGGACCGACTACTGTCAGATGCTGGGACTCCCTCCCCTCCCTGCAACTTTGTGTCGCCTTTCTCGAGGAAGCCATGCACCCCGAGATAAGCACCCCCTTTACGTGTGTCCCTAAATACCGCCAAAGAGGCTGAAGACACACTCCTCCTCTCGCGACAACCGGACGTTGTTAATGCCTGTAAAATTCGGGCCAGGCCTGACAAGCCATGGTCAGTAAGAGAGGAGGAGAGAAAGTCAGCGGTTGGAAATCCCAACAGAAACAACACTATAGTTGTACATGGGATTCCAGAATTGCCAAGTGACAGCTCGGTCAAAGATCGGTACTTTCACGACGTCCAACAATGGCAATGGCTCTCAACCAAAGTTGGTCTCAACAGTATACCGGCCAACAGCGTCAGTAGACTGCCAAGGCCAGCGCACCTGAAGACCATACCCAATCCCAGACTACTTGCCGTCCAGTTCGACTCATATGCCTCCCTCACAGACGTTCTGCACGCATGGTATAATGCGAAAGATCGCATGGGTGGCTCAATACGTATATGTGAAAGTAAGCCTAGACCCACAAGGCAAGAGGAGAGACGGCAACCACCAAGACCTCTGGAGTCAGTGGTCGTCACACAGGCGCTGACCAGTGAGTTAGATACATCAAGTAAAGAAGCCACCACTGCTACAGCCCCCACCCAAGTTAAGAACAAAACACAAAAAAACGGAACAATGCCAGTCCTATGAGGACTGGCGAGGCTAAATTCAACCACGTAAGCGCTCATCCCGCGAAAATACACATCCAGACCTCCCTCTCATCAGGTACACTCTAATATGTATGTACAGCAACGTTAGGGGGCTAATAGGGAAGGTAGCAAAAATGAGGACGCTGCGTGAACATCAGCACTCCGACATCATATTCATCACCGAATCCTGGCTCTCATCGGACATCTCCGACGAAGAGATGCGTGTTGCTGGCATGGAACTCTTCCGCAGGGACAGGGAACATAGAGCAGGAGGGGGAGTGGCTATCTACGTAAACTCCTGTTTAAAGGCAAGGATGGTTAGCGATACGGCCTTAACCCAGCTCCCAGAGTCTCTATGGTGCTACTTCACTCTCTTCTTTATTCTCTCTTCATTCCTTTACCACTACCTTACTATTCTCTTCCAGGTACCTACACAGACAGGAGTCATGGCAGTTCTCTAAACTTCCCAGCAACCCGTAGCTCCCTAATCACTCTACAAATTACAACCTACTAACCCACAAAACATCCACCTCACCGAAGCTAAAAGCAAGAAAGCAGAGGGGATTTCCTCGTCCACTGCAGGAGTAAACCGAACAACTGGAACCAAGCCCTAAGAACTAGACGCGAGAGATCAAAAACTACTAGTTTTCTACGCTCGCACTATCAATATTGGATATTGGATATTGGACATTGGACTTCTTTCCCAGTGTTATAAAAACGCAAAGTAGATGTCGCGTAACCAATGTTAAAAGACGGATTTACTTCTCTGGCTGATCTGGTTCATGAAATTAATAATTTAATTGAAAGCCAAAAATACGAAGATGCATATAAACTTGTTCTTGGCCACTTACCTGATTCTCGGTTCCAATCATCCGATGTGTATTATGTTTGCTCTCGTCTTTGCTTAAGTATAGGTTTGCAAGATGATTTTCATCCACTTGATTTTAAGCTGATACATATTCAAGAAGTAACAGAGAACAGTATGAATTTTATATTAACTCTGGATATCGGTTTGCAAAAACGGGTTATTCATTAGACGAAAACCATCCAGGTTGTGCCAAGGTTTTACCAGTGAAGTTCTTACCTGAAAATAATAGTATCTAGCTATCCTCCTTGAAAAACAGTTATGGATTAAGGAAAAAGAAAATGGATTGAGGCATCAATTACATTGAGAGAACATTTGCTTGTAAGTCAGAACATTTTTGCAACATAATGAAAGAAATCACTTTCTCTGGAACCGACTGATTCTTTAGTTTTGCATAAAATGGGATTATGGTACGTTCGTTTTGTGTATGCTTTTGCAGTTCATAAGGTGTTTTGAAGTAGCCAGTTGGACATGGATAGAGAAGAAGGTCGCTTATGCTACATTCAAAGAAGCTCCTCAATCGTCTTATAACGAAGTATTGCAAAACACCTTATTTACATATTTTAGGCACTGAAGTACTTTGTAGCTGCTGAAGGAAGTATGTTAATCATCATATGTCCTTATAATACCTAGGAAACCATAAGTCTTCCTCACTGAATTTGTTGTATATTGCTCGTAGTTATTTTCAGTTGAAACAGTATGACATGGCTAGAAACTACCTTGAAAAATGCATAAATCACAAAAGTGAGGATGATAATGTGGAAAAGGTCTGCATTGATTCACTAATCTTATTCATTTTGATAAGGTAAGGCTTGAAGCAACGAAGTTGTTAAAAGGCCTGAGAGAGTTTTCAACCTAATAGAACTGGCCGAACAATACTGTGTTGAAATGTTTATGCGTTTTCAGTATCCACAAGAACCAGAAACGTAGTAATTGTGCACAGAAGTTCCAAATGCTTAATCAGTTTTTCTTTTAACAGATTTCCTGACAAGATGAAATGGAAATTCATTCGATTATTGTTTTGGCGTTACTCATTTTCAGTTCTCAGTAAACTAAATGCCTACAGAATTCTCATAGACTTCTTAAGATGTTTATGAAGCTAAAATGTTTCCAGGTAAAACTACACCTAGCATGTTCTGTTATTGCTCAGGCAAACTCTTATGGAAAAGTCATTTGCCTCGCCAGATAAAATGTTTTTCTAGTTCGGATAATCGAGTCTACTGAACCGTAGGACATCAGTTTTATTGCACTTAAGTTGCAGATACTATAAAAATGCTTTTCTATAAACCTTTAAGTAAAATTAACCCTTGTGTCTACCATAACGCCTACGATGTACACTTTCCTTAATACATGTAAACGAAAGTTTTCTTGTCCACACAATTTAAACTTTCTTCGAGTTCAGGTTTATGTTCTTAACTACAGGAAAATAGACCATAATTCAATCCTCTTATTTTCTGCTTCTTGTCGCCTCATCAGACATCGGTTCTAACAGATCGCTCTCAGAAGCTTGACAAAAACTTTATCTTCTCCTTCAGAGATCTCATCAGAGATCTGTAGTGGAACCAGAACCCAATGAGGCTAAAAATTAGATTTCTGTTACTTCTAAACACTAAAGTGAAAATCAAGGCAATAAAAAGTTGACCAAAGTGTGTGATCGGAAATTCAGTAACGCAGCAAACATTTGAAAAATAGGCTGACTCTGAAGCAGTGGTTTTAGTCCAGTGTATTGCATACTTGGTCTTAGCAGTAAGATCAAAAGGGAAAAGCAGTATGGTGACAACAAGTAGATTATAAGTGACGTTTAAAAGATAAGGTGAGTTTCTATTGAAATTTCCAAAAACAGCCTGACGGAACTTGTCGTAGGCAGCGGCGAAAGGAAACAGAACATATAAGTAACGAATCATGGTTTATTTTCATGCAGTCAAGAACATAAAACTTCATTTAGAGCAACTTTTAACTGTAGAAACAAGAAAAACTTACTTTTCAGATATTAGAAAAAGTGTACGTGAAGAGTAAAGTGATAGGCAGAAGCGCTAATCTTAATTTGAGGGTGTATAAAAAATATTTGCATAGTCTTCCCAAAGTACTGGATCTTATGACCAAATTACTTTTCTAGGAACTGTCCCTGTGCAGACATGAAAAACACAAAGGAAAAACACTAGTTATTCGTACTTGTAATGTACCGACGAATACGAGACCGAGAAAGAACACAACAGAGTAGTCAAGTGGTAACATTATCTTTGAGAAGTCGTGCCAAAATACTAGTGGATTCCGATCAGCTGGCTAGAGGGTCGACAAGAGTAGTGCAACATAACACGACAGCGTGGTAGATGTTGTAGACTCTTAACCACGTGCCCTATGATTAGCGAGTCCGATGAAACTATGAGGGTTAGTATCAATTATGAATCTCATCAAACCCTAGGCTATCGATTTTGGGGAACTATGTACAGTTGCAGATCACTTCCCTCTTGGTTGGCTCGTGAGGGCCCTAAGACGATACCAGCTGGAAGTAAAGACCCAGTGGTTTCATCAATAGTAAACCCCTACCGATGAGATCACTATGAGGAATACTCTCTGGTTGTCAGAAATTATTTTACGGCCTTTTTTCAAAAAAGAAAGAAGAACAATAAATTGAATAATATGCTGGTCACAATCCCTAGTATGCTTTGACGTTCCGTTTAGTGCTCGTTGCACTTGGAATAAAAGCAAAAGTCTGTAATACCACAAAAAAGTTTTGTGAGAATGGGAAATATTTATATCCTACGTGTAAGAAAAACGTGGGAAATAGGTTTGATGCTTAGTTCTATCATTTTTGAAACATGTATGACCACAAGATAGTAAAAACTGATACCAAGAAGATTAAATGTAGGCAAATTCTTGCATTCCTACTAAAAGGGGTGTCTCGAAAAAAATTTGAAAGTCAAAAATAATAGGCACACTTTCACGTACACTATTCAGTTTAGTATGTCTTTAGATAATCCGGGAATCTGACGGTTATACCCGATCGCGTTTTTGTTGTGCAGTTGACAGTTGTATCTATACTACCAAACATATCATCAGGAGTCTCTATAATTGGGCCATCTGCCGGTGGCTTATGATAGAGTTACCTTGGAAGTAACCTGGTTCCAAACCGTCGATACTAAAGGTATCTCTATGTCCGTTTCGCTCTACAATACAAGAATTTTCGTGCTGTTTGATGACTTAGAATTGTCCATCATAAGGTGGTTCAAGCAGTAGACAAACTGTATCATGGCATATGAAAACGTGTTATGTCTTATGTAAAACGGAGTGAATGAGGATATCAGTTGTTTGAGATTTAACAGGAGTAGGCCTGACTGAACGCATCGAGTTTGTAAGCCCAACCACGTAAGATGCTCTGTCAAAGTTGAAGTAGTAACTAACTCACCTGGTAAGCGAAGAGTAGCCTCGTAGACAAGGTCTGAAAAAGTGCACCCAGCATCAGGTTTCAACACGTTCGGGACCAGAGGCAGAGCTTTGGCCCACTGAAGTGGAACCTCTCAGTTTTCGATGGAAACATTCCGCTATGCCATTTGCTTGTGGATGGTAGGCTGGCGTTTGGAACCGAGTACAATCTAAAAGTTCCGTTAGAGTGTGAAATAACTTACACTCGAATTGATGCTCATGGTCCGCTGTTACGTAAGATATACATTCAAAGTTTGCGATTTGTCTTTCGACGAAGACACGAGCAACAGTTTTTGACAGTAATATCCTTAATAGGTACTGCTTTCTACCATCTCACAAAAACAATCCACGCAGATGAAAAATTAAGTGTATCCACTAGACTCTAGTAGGGGTCCCACAAAATCTATATGGATGTGCGCGAAAGGCATGTTTAGGGCTAGAAAAAAACCCAAAGAAGTTTTCATTACACTTTTGAAAAGCTCTGCATGATTGAGAATTTATATACCGCTAAAGTATCCTCAACATTTAACCAACCACATTGGATAATTTCTTCAAAGTCTTCAACTGGTATTAAAGACTTTTTCATGAGTTTGCGAGCAGACAAAATGCACGCAACTTTTCATTGTGAATATGATTACACAATAAGATTGCTGCTGACGACTGGTAAATTTGATAACACTAAATAGACGTATATAATTTACATCTAACACTAGACTATTTAACCTTTGTGTCCTGTTAGATCTATAACAGGAAATAAAACAAGACAGTACATGAAAGAAGAATCCAATGCAAACTTTATCAACAACAGATAATAGACTTATAGGTGGCAGTGTGATTAGAAAGATGAAAAAGCAAAATTACAGTAGAATAAACAGGAAAGATATTGGATACCAGAGAGAAAAGAAGTCAAAATGACCCGATTGCTAAGCTTCTCATGATGATAATTAATGGATACACCTGGGAAGAGGATGGGACAGTTTACATTGTAGTAAACCTGCAACATATGGGATAACTTAAACATGCGTTGCGTATATCAAGCTACTAACTAGTTCAACATGAATGCTGGGGATGGCAGGAACAAGCCACGTTGCAGACTGAATAATTCTTAAACTTCTGGCATAAGACATGTATTTAGATGTAGGCTGTCTGTATGAGGATATCTAAATGATCGAAATCATTGACTATAGATTCTCAGTTATATGACTGAAGTAAATCGCGAAGGAATGTCCGCGTAATCTATTTGTCATCTTCAACATTTTCAGCCATGTATATACCTCTGCTTATGCATCCTTTGTCACAGTATGCACTTTGTTAACTTCAGTATCATTCTTTTTCTATCCACTTCTTCTTTGTTTACTGATGTCATGCATGACAACCTGGATTGGTAAATTTGTGCAGAAAGTTATACACTGATTGAGGACATCAACCTAAGACTAATCCATAATCCCAGCCAGGACATGTTGTGTGGTCCAGATGGGATAAATCCCTGAATAATATCAATACTAGTGGATATCATCGCAAAACTACTAACGTGGTTGTTCCATGGGCAACTTAATCAATCAAATCACGGAGAGATTAGGAGGTCACCATCATCATTTAAGTGTTTAAACCTGACAACGGACATTTGGTGGTCAACTATTACTTGGTTAGTCTGACTACTTCAGTAGTTAGGCTCTTGACAAAATATCTTCTATTATGCAATTTTATACCTTGTCAGTGTAAGCAGGCTTTTATCCATGGAATAACAC